TTCATCTACATGTACTCTTATGTCTTCTACGGTCACCGTCACAAACGACCCACGTCTCGCAGCTGATGGAAGTAACAGCCAAACTCCCGGTTCTCCATGTCCTGCGATCGCAACCGCCTCTCACTCCACCGAAGCTCCAGCTCTTCTCCGACCTGGTTCTCCATTCATCCTCGCAGCGTTTAATGTTCGAACTTTGATGCAGATCGGACGACAAGCATGTCTGGCCCGTACTCTTGAAACGCTATCGGTAGACATCTGTTGTCTTTCAGAGACCAGATTGCAAGACTCTAGCGCCGTCATCAGAATGGCCTCTCCGGTAAACTCTGACGCCAAATACTACTTGCGGCTTTCCGGAGACCCAGAATCTGCCGCCACTGGTCAAGCTGGTGTTGGGGTTGTATTAAGTGCCAGGGCTGAATCAGCTCTGCTTGACTGGATCCCAGTCAACAGCCGACTATGTGCAGTCAGACTAAGAGGTTCATGTAACGTAAGCAGGCGTCGAGATGTTAAGCGTGCCTTATTTGTCGTCTCCGCCTACGCCCCTACAGACTGCAGCCCGGATGCAGTTAAAGATAGCTTCTACCAACAACTACATGAACTTCTGCGTTCCTCCAAACGGACGGATATAGTCATTCTTGCCGGGGACTTTAACGCACGGGTTGGCCGCCTTCTACCAAGCGAGCACCACATTGGGGGTAGTTTTGGTCTCGGTGGCAGTCGATCAGACAATGGAGACAGACTACTTGCTCTTTGCTCTGATCATCGCTTGTTTCTTTCGAGCACTAGTTTTCGACACTCGAGGAGACAGACTGCTACCTGGCGCCCGCCCTCACAAACGCAAGAGTGCTCCCAGCTTGACCACATAGCAATCAGCTACAGATGGCGCGGAAGCGTAATGGACTGCCGATCGTACTGGTCAACTTTTCTGGACTCTGATCACGCATTGGTTCGTGCTAAGATTTGCATGCGTTTCGGAGGATCACCTAAGCGCGCCCACTACCGACCGGACGTCGCAAATCTACAAAACGCTGCGGTTTTAACCAGGTACCAAGCCTCACTGTCAACCTTGCTTGGCTCAACTATTGACGGTGATCTCGATTCGCAGTGGGCGCATATCAAAGATGCGTTAGTTTCCGCCAGTATCGACACTTGTGGAGTTACCCGTCACCCACCGAAACATTGGATTTCCGCCGACTCCTTGTCGCTGATGGACAAACGCCGCTTGATCCCATCGGATTCGAGACACGTTGAAGAACGCCAATACCTTGGTCGAGAGTTGCGCAGGAGTCTGCAAATGGACCGCGAAGTTTGGTGGTGTGAACGTGCTAGGGAGATGGAGCTTGCTAGTCTCTGTGGTAATACCAGGAAACTCTTCCATCTCCTTCGAGTCACCGAAGGTGTTCGATCTGGTGTAAGTGAAACAATATGCGAAGAGGATGGCACCTTAATCACCAATCTTCAACGACGGTTGGAGCGATGGGCCGAACATTTTGGCTCGCAGTTTTGTTGGCCCCCAGCTCCATCTGCTACCTCTGGCGCTCGCGCTGGGGCCGAGTGGTCTACCCCAACAGACCCTCCCTCTTCCCAGGAAATCGAGCAGGAGCTCCGGCACCTGAAGCGTTATAAAGCTCCCGGCCCTGATGGTCTTCACCCAGCTCTATTTAAAGATGGTGGCGCATCGCTGGTCCGAGAACTCACCGTTTTGTTCTCGAAAATTTGGTCGAAAGAGAAGGTTCCATCATCTTGGGGTGAATCGATAGTCGTACCCATCTTCAAAAAGGGCCTGCGCACAATTTGCTCCAACTACAGAGGAATAAGTTTAGTCCCCGTCGTTTGCAAGCTGCTGGTGTCCATCATACTTCGCAGGCTATCCCCAACACGCGAATCGTTGCAGCGAGAAGAACAAGCTGGGTTTCGCCCTGGTCGCGGCTGCATCGATCAAATCTTCACACTTCGCCAGATCCTCGAGCTCCGCCATGTGTATCAGAGGCCAACGATTGCTGTGTTCCTGGATATCCGTGCTGCCTTCGATTCTGTCGATCGTACAGTACTGTGGCAGTGCCTTCTGAGGAACGGTGTCCCCGAGAAGTTCGTCTCCATACTGCGCGCTCTGTACAGTCTGACCTCGGGCAGGGTTAGGGCTTATGGCATGCTTTCGCCTACCTTTGTGGTCTCCAGTGGAGTTCGACAAGGATGCCCTATCTCTCCGTTCCTATTCAACTTTGCCATTGAGGATGTCCTGAAGAACGCTCTGAGCGATTCGTTGAACGCTGGCGTTGAGCTCCTCCCAGGTAGTCGAGTTGTTGATTTGGATTATGCTGATGATATCGTCTTGCTAGGTGACGATCCACAAGTCGTCCAACTTGCATTAAACCGCTTGACGATTGAAGCATCAAAGCATGGTATGTGCTTTTCGCCATCCAAATGCAAGGCTCTCCTTCAAGACTGGCAGGTGCCTCTGCCTGCACTCACGCTTGCTGGTGAGACACTGGAGGTTGTGGAGAGCTTTGTCTACTTGGGAAGTTGCATCACTGCTGGCGGGGCTGTTGGAGACGAGATTTCGATGCGCATCTCGAAAGCACGCCTCGCTTTTTCTAGGCTGAGGCATTTGTGGCGTCGCCACGACATTCGTCTCTCCATCAAAGGGCGGGTCTATTGTGCAACTGTTCGTGCTGTACTGTTGTACGGATGCGAGACCTGGCCCGTTCGTAAAGATGACTTGCGCAGGCTATCCGTCTTCGAGCACCGCTGTCTGCGGTCCATTGCCCGTGTGTGGTGGCAGCACCACGTAAGCAATGTGGAAGTTAGACAGCGTGTCTTGGGACGTGGAAGCCACTCGCTCGAGGAGCTCATCTCACTGCATCAACTGCGGTGGTTGGGACACGTATTGCGCATGCCTGTCCAGCGTTACCCCCGTCGTGCGTTGTTTGCACTTGCTGGACAGGGCTGGAAGAGACGGTCTGGTGGACAGCCTACAACATGGAGAAGCCGCATGAAAAAGTTGACGAAACAATTGGCCTCGGCCGGTTGTTGTCGACTACCTGGTTGGGGTCCGAGAGACGAGGATACTTGCTGGTTGAAAACCTTGGAAGTTATGGCTCAAGATCGATGTCAATGGCGGACGTGTGCATCAGTGTGTTGCGGTGTCCCTTCCTCCTCCCCCTAAAAACGAACAAACTGAAAAAAATTTCAAAAACTGTGAGTGGTAAACTTGACAAAAAAAGCATTTCTTGTTGCTCTTTTCTTATTATTCATATTGTTTTCCTATTCAGCCATGATTCCGATGGCACAATATCTGTACCACAGATTGTGTATAATATATATATATATATATTGGTCTACTGATGGAAGAGAAGAGGCGAGTGGCAACCTCTTCAGACCATGTGTCGAAGCTACGTTTGAGCGCCCAAAGCATGCGCAGTCCGTTACGATATAGCCTGTTCGTGTTGTCCACGGACTTCAAATCGTAGCGCGAGAGTACACATAGGTCCTTCAGGGAGGGTGTGGGATACAGCAGTTGGCCGTCAGCCTCCTTCCCCAGGCTCATAAATACAGATTTGGCTGGGTTGACCGGAGATGAACTTCTGCAAACCATGTGGATAGGCGGTTGGGGCCCTGCGGAAGTATGCCACAGTTATCGGGAGCGTCAATTTCTCTCCAAATCTTCATGTCGTAGGCAAACAAGGCACACGGAGAAGCTGAGGTAGATCGTTGATGTGGATCAGGAACAGAGTGGGCCTCAGCACAGTGCCTTGAGGCACGCTACTTGTAGAGGGGTACCAATCAGTTAGATGATCGTCGACCTGTACCCTCCACTTTCGTCCAACAAGGAACTCGTTGATCCACCGGTGCAGTGAGCCACCGACACCGCACATCTTGAGTTTGTGAAGGAGAACCTCATGAATGACAGTCAAACGGTTTACTGAAATCGATGCATACCACGTCGACAGACTTCCCCTTACTAATTGTCTGTAGCCACTCATGCCTCGTCACAAGCAAGTTTGCAATGCATGAACGGCCTTGCCTAAAACCGTGCTGTGCGGGTGTCAGGACCTCTTGACTGTAGTAACTGTAATGATCCATTTTTTACGATTTTCTCAGCAACCTTTGTCAAAATAGATGTCAGACAAATTGGCCTGTAGTTGTCTACTTTGCTAGGGTCGTCATCTTTCGATATAGGCTTAACCACCGAACATTTCCAGTCAATAGGCAATGAACCTTCGGACAGCGACCTGTTGAAAAGGTCAGTCACGACAGGGGAGATGATGACCGAAAGTGACTTGAGGATCAGTGGGTGAAGCATATCAGGTCCAGCAGGTTTGGTGACGTCAAAGCTGGCGAGTAGTTGACATAATTCTTCAACGCCACAATCCAGACTGATGACTGTGAGATCAAGGATTCAGTTACTTTATTGAGAATCAAAAAGATCCGCGGACCCTTTCCAATGGAGGCCTGCATACACACTTTCTGCAGTGGCGTTAACGACGGTAACGTAGCCTAATCGAGAGCTGCAGTGGGACGGAAGGCATCCAGGGGAACGAAATATGCACTGGAAGGTACGAGAGAACGCACGTGTTTCAGAATCACCGTGTACCTGAGCAGTAGAGTTAAAATAAGCACAAAGTGCAGAGTTACAGGCTAACTGAAATCGAGGTGAACATTCATTACTGCCGCTAGTGACCATGATGAACAGCGTGCACGAAGCGTGCTGCTATATGCAGCCCAAAGTGCACATCTCTGTTGAAAGAGCGCAGAAAGCAGGGACTTGGTGTGATTTCTGATGCACCGCACCCACTTGAGAATTGACATTAGTAACTACTTGAGCGTCACCTGGTTATGTCGACAGTGAATTATTGTAAGGCTGTAAATGACCACCCCGTCTTACACAAACGACACTTTAGAATATATTTTCACATCGCAAAACAGAAGCGGGCAGCAGTATCAAATCAATCGCTGAGAGAGCAACTTGATTTCATATAACAGGAACTCTGCCGACTCACCCCACTGGGCTTTGTCAGTGGACACAAGGTAGGTCGTGAACAGACAAAGCAGGCTGAGAATCCAGTTGAAGTGTTCAGTACGCATCCGTCGCACGCCAACCGTGTCTAAGTGACCGTATCAGTTAAGCCGAAGTGGCTCTGCAGCGGGCTACGTAAACGCTCGATAGATAACTCAATCAACAATTGAACGAATTTCACGATCACATGCAGGCACAGGGACGAATCGATGTTCTGATGACAGTTTTTCAATCGAACATGCTGGCTGGCGTGCTTTAACACTAGGTTTGGTTAACAAGCTACACTTGGCTTTGTGTTGGGGCCAATATGTGCATCTGAACTGGGAAGTGGAAGGCCGGATAAATGAGAGGAAAATTATAACATAGACTACTTCTGCGGAGACATTCTGGTGATCAAAGTGCCTGCAGCATCACACAGACAACCTGATGACTGCACCGCAACCTAGCTATGTGTCGCCGACGAAGTTCGTCCGATTGAAGCCGGTGGGGTAAACGGAGGCCATCAGGTGATATACACCATCTGATATCGGGGGGAGGGGGTTGAGACGGTACCCAGAAACTGACATACAAACAACCAAGAGGCTCGACAATCTTGTTGAGTCCGTAAGTAACATGCTCGTGGAATATAGGAAACCTGAGTCTAAGAGCCGGAGATTTGGTTATTCCTGAGAATGCACACAGGGCTAACAAAAAATTGTCTGGTACCTACGAATGCCTCCAACCGCTTGGTTGTCGCAACGTGATTAGTCATCATTTTTAATGCTGGAGGTGACGATTCAAGGCATAGTACTACGGCTCCATGAATGAGGATTTTCTGACCAAATGGGAAAGCCGATGCCTAAGCCGAAGGCGAGAAACAAATGAAACCAGATAGACCACTTATCGGAAACGTTGATAAGGATTGGTTATCTCATCAACTATTAAATGATGGATCTTCACGACACCTCCATCGGTCGAACGCAATGGAGGATGTCACTGGTGCCGAACCGATTGTGCAACGTTACATCTGTTCTGAATTACGGAGTTGACGAGGCGATCAAGGTTATACAATTCACAGTGACATCAAACAGACCTATTCCGTGAAGCTTACACATTCATGAGATCGATGGCTCATGTTCCCAGTGAAGGAGCCGGGTATTTTAAGATTCCCAAAGACCCATCGCTCGTTGACGTAGGGAGGAGCTCACATTGAGCAATCAACCAATGTCACACACAAGGATCGCGTCAAGCTAATGAATTCCCCAGTTCTGGGGGCGATGAGGAAAGGTTCAACGATGTATTTTTTAAAAATCAATAACGCCTAAAATTAATTATTTCATCTTGTGGCAGTATAAGGTACACGGAGCGTCTGTTGGAAAAATTTCCCCAATAAGTGAGACGCTGAAATCGGATGCAGCACTCAAATGAACTGTACAATACAACGGTTCAAAATGAACAAAGGTGAGGGAATTGAAAGAGGATGTGAAGCTGGGGGCAATCACCAAAGCTTATACCTGTACATAAGGTAGGGCGGAGTATGAACACCCGGTGGTGGAGAAAAATAATCATGCGCCTTCTGATGGGCGAGTGTAAAGATCACATCTGAAAGGCGAACATTAAAGTGTGATGACGTGGAAAGCTCGATAGGAGTGAAGGACTTAGTATGATACAATTTATCGGCCCGTTCCATACATATTTGGTCCAGTAGGTCCGAACCCGCTGGGAGGACGCATTGATCTCTGGGGTGCCCCACCAGAATGATATGGGTGATGTGGCATGGGAGGATGCGGATCGGAAAATTGTGGCATGGATGGGCCACTACCTGGAGGTGGGAGGACATTAGAGGATAACATCCAAGGGGGAAGAGCCCCAGGATAAGGAGCACCACACATGGCATCGTTCTGGCCACCAAGGTGCCCGCCGAATTCCATGGTGTTCGAAGACCAACTCGGATTGCTTGCGAAACGCGGATTCTTGGATCGATGCTGAAACAGCGAGTCATAAGAATAACTATTAGAAGCCTACAAGATAACCGATACGGCATAGCAACAAATACACAATTCTCATCTAAAGCAAAACGGGGCGGAACATTTAGAAGAAGAATACCGAGGGAGTCGGTACACTTTCCATGAAAAAAGTAGTATTCCAGGGGCGAGAAGCACGGAAGAAGTGCGATTCGTCGAATACGGGAACAACAAAAAGTAAAGACACGCTGATGCCTGGATTAGTAACCGGGATAGACACATACTTGAGAGAGAACGGTGGCGAATGCATGTTGACATAGGCGAAAGATGAGTGGACAGACAACGTGAGAACCATTTGCAGCTGAAGAAATCGATGATGGCCAGTAGCATCATAATCCGAGTAGCTGTGTTCGTAGGTGAGTTATGAGTGGTGAAAATAGCCAAACGATTGCTATCTACTTGTAACGAGGCAAGAGCAGCAATGGTGCTCTTGATATGGGCAGAGATAGAAGGCAGTTGACGACAATATAGGGCATGTGATTCGAGTCAGTGAGATATGCAGAATGCAAAAGAGTCCCTGCAGCAATTCTATGTACCTCAACTCGTTCCAGTGATGCATTTGAAACAGATGTGGACAGCCAATGACACACGACTACCACATGAATCGTGCACGCAGCATTCAAATGATGCAATTAGTTGCTAGGGCAGTTTTCAATTAGCCACCGAAACTAAGCGCTACGTATAAAGGGATGCAAACAGTTAGGATATACTTCTAGTGCGCCAACTCAGATGCAGTAATGATTTGTTCGATTAAAAGTGCGGAAGCTAGCTGAAAGAAGCAACAACGCAACCATTCTACTAACATAACCCGGGCTATGGAGCGTCTGATCTCAGAGCTAGCCGGGGGGCAATTAACCCACTTAGTTCCCGTTGAAGCATAAAAAGCAAGTCGTCTTGATTGGAGACGCTGTTGTTGTTGGATAGCGCATAAGTCGGAAACAGTGAAGAGGTTTTCACCAAAAACTCATTCCTTTTGTACCTACGGCAGTAGTCTGGTACTTAATTCCGCCTTAATCGATAACGTGATATCGTAAGCACCATGATAAAAAGATTGACAAGACCATATCCTGTTGGGGTGCCAACAGTGTTTTCATCAAACGCTGCCCCACATTCGTGCGCTCACTCAGGAATATCAAGATATGTAGCTTTTCATTTCTTAACCAGAACTATTAGTTCACAGTTGATTGATACCTATCGGAAAATGAGGCAAATGCTTTGTTCAGCAAAGCGTGACCTGTGATTGTGAGAGCAGCCAATCAAAGTGAGGAGGGCTAACGCAACAAACCACACAGCCAATCTGATTGAACTGAACAGAGCCCGACATTGGATGTACCCGAGATAGTGGTATGTGTGCAGTTTACACATAATGTATACTGTACATCATGCCAACGATTGCTTGACAAATCAAAACTACGATAAAATGAGATCTTGATTTTTTTCTATCACCCTTATTTGAATGAGGAAGTGGAGAGTGTCAATCGCATTAACGTACAGCATCAACGAAGGCTCTAGTAACAGTTTCACTGAATCACATTTGCTGAATAAACCAATTGTCCAAGAGGAACGGACTTCGGTGACAACAGTGTCCGATTACGAAAGTCGAGAAAAACGTGAGGTGATAAGTGACAACCCTGTTTTGTATGGCAGTGTTATGTATGCGAGGAGGAATCCATTCCCAAAGAGTGCAATCGCTTAAAGATGTGCGCTGGAAAGGTAAAATTAGGCGTGTAGTTTTACAGTTAACAATACATGGTAGCAAGAAGTAAACCAGAGCTAGTGAGACGCAACAGTGCTGTACCCATCGCAATGACGCTGGACCATACCTTGTTGCGATGGTTTGTGTGCCTCAGTGATCCATTGAGCTATGCTGGGTGGTGCTTTTTTGCACCTTCAGAGCCACTCATACCAGGTTTGTCAATGGTTAGAGGCCAGACAAACTCAGCCTCCTGGTTGGGTATTGGAATGAGGGTGGCTCCTTATTTCATAACGGACTCCTTGTAGCCCAACGCCAAACCTGCTGCCTTGTGGTCAGGTTTTTGAACCAAAGCCTTTGGTTGAGAACCCTAATCGTTCCCCTGCCTAAGCCTAGGCAACCTGACAGTATCCTGCCCACGCAATACAATGAATCTCTCTTCAAACAAATCCCTGATGCTCTGGCCACCGCAGAGGATAATCAACGGTGCCCTATCTGCTGCATCGAGCAGGGTGGATAGGGGTTTGGATGCTACTGCTCAAGCCTTCCCGACTTCTTATTCCCCCTCTTAAGCTTTTTCTCCCTTATAGTCCGGTTCCAACTTCATTTTATCCCCCCAGTTTTCAACCCCCCGATTCTTGGCCCTCCCCCAACATGCTTTGCTAGGCATTTATCTTCTAATTTCAACTCACATGCAAACGCGGTGCATCACACCTGTCCTGTCGACAAGCCCATGTCCAACCAAGCGGCCAAGCCCAGTTCATCGCCTTCCATTTGGAGCCCTCGATCCTCCTTCAGATTGGCATGCCTCAATGTACGCACATTACTACAGATCGGTCAACAGGCAGCACTTGCCCGAACTTTAAAGACCCTCTCCATCGATATCTGCTGCTTATCGGAGACCCGACAGCAAGACACGAGCTCTGTGCTCACTCTGCAATCCACTTCAGGTGACACCAGCAGCACTTTCTCATTGCGCTTATCCGGTGACGATGCAGCTTCGAGCACCGGCCAAGATGGTGTTGGCATTACCCTGAGTCCCCAAGCTGAAGCTTCTCTGGTGGATTGGATCCCAGTCAGTAGCCGGATGTGTGCGATCCGATTGGCTGGCTCGTTCAAAGCTTCGAAGTCGCGCGGGACTAATAGGTGTCTATTCATCATCGCTGCCTACGCACCCACAAACTGTAGCGATGATTAGGTAAAAAACGACTTCTACCGCCAACTGACCGAGCTCGTTCGCCACAGAAGAAGCACGGACACTGTTGTGCTGGCAAGGGATCTGAATGCATAAGTTGGAAAGTTGTCCACTGATGAAACGCACCTGGGCGGTCAGCAAGGTGTAGGCTCCCGCAATGATAACGGTGAGCGGTTAGTTCATTTGTGTGATGATGCTCGCTTATTTCTTGCGAGCACTAATTTCCGACGCCGCACCCGCCGGAGGGTGACTTGGCGCCCACCAGCCTCGAACCAGCTATGGACGCAAATCGATCACACTGCAATCAGTTACCGCTGGAGAGGCCGCGTCCAGAACTGTCGCTCGATTTGGAGCACATGTGTAGACACCGACCATGCACTTGTATGTGCTGACCTGCGGATGTGTTTTGGCGGACGCCCACGACGACGCTGTGAGCGCAATGACACCAGCAAACTGACGAGGTCAGCGGTTCTGAATGCCTATCAAAGTACGCTGACATGCGAGCTGAGTAAATGCTCACTGGAAACAATTGAAGATCACTGGTCGCGTGCTCACCAGACCTTACAAGCAGCAGGCAAATCCTCATGTGGTAAGTCTAATAGCCAACATGGACATTGGGTCTCTCGCGGTCTCTGGAACTTATCGATGCTCGCCGGCATATTCCGGCTGGAAGCGAACACAATGAAACTCGCAAACAGCTCCGGGCAAAACTCCGTGCTAGCCTGAAGAGAGACCGCGAATCCTGGTGGTCTCTTCGTGCGTCAGAGATGGAAGTAGTCGCTGCCCTTGGTAACCATCAAAAGTTATTCCGTCTGATACGGGAAACGGGCAGAAGGAGACCTGGTGTTAGTGAAACAATTTGTGACGAGAAAGGACAGCCTGTACACAATTTGTCACAAGGTTTGGAGCGTTGGGCTGAGCATTTTGAAAAGCAATTTAATCGGCCGGAATTGTTCGATTTCTCACTGGCCAGTGACCGACGCGCTCATTGGGCTGTCTCTTGGGATCCGCCCTATCGCTCAGAAGTCAAACGTGAGATCGGACTGTTGAAGTTGAACAAATTCGGGGGACCTGCTCTTGTTGATGATTTACACGAATTACTAATGACTGTGGGAGCAGGAAATTGTCCCAAAAGACTGGAGCCGCTCGGATATTATTCCCATCTTCAAAGAAGGCTCGCGCTCGGAATGAGGCAAACATAGAGGAAGCAGTCTGATCTCCATCGCCGCCAAATTACTTGCCTCCATAATCCTTCACAGACTGACTAGCATTCATAAAGGCCAGATTAGTGAGGATCAAGCCGCGTTTCGTCCGGGTCGCGCCTGCATCGACCACATTTTCACCTTGCGTCAACTGTTGGAGCACCGTCACACACATTCGCGGCCCACCGTAGTCGTGTTCCTTGACATCAAAGATGCCTTCGATTCGGTTGATCGATATACCCTTTGGAACTGTCTACTCAGGAAAGGTGTGCCTGAGAAATATGTAAATATCATCCGAACATTATACGCGCGTAACACGGGCAGAGTGAGGGCTTATGGCAAGCTGTTGTCACCCTACAATATCTTCATCGATGTGAGACAAGGATGCCCGTTGTCACCTTTCCTCTTCAATTTCGCTAATGACGAAGTCATGGAGATTGCATTTACAGGACACCACTTAGAAGGTGTGAAGCTACTCCCAGAAGAACGACTTCTTGACATGGAGTATGCAGATGTTATTGCCCTCATCTCCGACATCTCCCAGACGTGTCAAGCTGCACTGGACAGATTAGCACTGGCTGTCAGCCGCTTCGGGCTTTGCTTTGCACCATCGAAGTGCAAAGCGTTCCTCCAAGACTGGCAGGGATCGCCTCCTGCGTTGACTCTTAGTGGGGATCTGCTAGGAGTCGTTCAGAAATTCAACTACCTGGGAAGTTTTATCAGCACCCTTGGGTATGAAGATGAGATCACCAACCGTATAGTAAAAGCTCGAAGTGCTTTTGCTAACATTCGCCACCTATGACGGCGGCGCGACATCACTCTCGCCCTGAAGGGTAGAGTGTACAATGCAGCGGTACGTTCGACCTTACTGTATGGTTGCGAAATCTGGCCCCTAAGGTCGGCGGACCTGAAGAGGCTAGCTACATTCGACCATCGGTGCCTTCGCAGTTTGGCTCACAGCTGGTGGAAACACCGCGTGAGTAACGAGCGTGTTCGACGCTTTGTTTATGGCACAGGAAAAGGAACTGAACCGCTCAGCACCGTCATTTCACGCACCAGGCTCCGATTGCTCGGCCACGCGTTGCGCATGCCAGCCTATCGACTCCCGCGACGTGCGTTGTTTGCTCACCAGGGGTGCAGATGGAAGAGGAAGAGAGGTGGCCAAACGATGACTTGGTCCAGAGGAATGAAGACCCTCACTTCGGAGCCGGCCTCGGTTAGAGCTTCACGGCTCCTTGGTTGGGGACCAAAAGACAATGAACACGTTTGGCTAGATACACTTGCTGATATGGCAAGGAGCCGACGTCAGTAGCGTTCCTGCTGTGAGTTTCCTTGTCCCTCCCCATCCTTTTTAGCCTCCCCCTCTAACCACAATCTCATTTCGTAGTATAATATAATTTTACATCATAATTTTTCTTATTGCCTAGTAGCCAGCTGCTAGCTTTCCGGAACGATGCGCATCCGGTGCTGGTAGATCAGCTGGCATGCAACTGTTGTATTTATTTTCTTTTATGTATTGCGCGGCACAGTAGCTGAGGTGTTTTACACTAGCTAACGTGTATAATGATGATGACCCAGTATACACAAGTAGGACAGTGGAGTATATAAGTGCGACCTACCGGGTTGCGTGGGAAAGAGTGCGAGGATCGGCCAGATCGGGGATGCCCTCTGATTGAAGACCGGGTGTATCTGTACAAAGGGGAAAAGCGAAAAACATCGCCTAATCGATAATTGTAAGTTCTGAGGCTCGGAAAACAGACGAGAGAGAATACATAAGTTCGCTGAAAAAAGCTGTTGACTGGCACCTACAGTGCCAACAGAGAGTTATTCGTGAAAGGGCAGCAAAATCCGATAAGTGGTTGCGGTAGAGAAGTGCACTTCATCCGAGCAACAATTACCACATGCGATGAGCTTCGAATGAAGCATTTCTACAACGAACGTTATGGTGGGTGAATAGTAATCATTGATGTCGTTAGTGTCAGGCAGCTAAGCGTTCGCTACTGTCCGCTCCAAACACTGTATTTCGGAACCAATTTCTTCCTAATCTGGACTCGGCAGTGGACGCTTATCAGAACGGGTTGGATTCCATTGTCGGTATTTGGGGCGCTTCAAAAGCCAACGATGATCAGGGTCATTGGGTACCGGTGCTTCGGTTCTATTCGGTCGCGAGTGACGAATGTCATGCGAATGAGGACAAAGGGTAGAGCAATCAGGTACTTAATCGTTCAGAGGTTATTGAGGAGCGAGTTTCGAGATAGCGACGAATCGGAATTAATGATGAGCAAGATACATGGATGAACCAATGTCGGTGAGATGCTATTCCTGCAGTCGTCACTTGGCACATGCCAAATTGATATTGTAGAATACTCAGTGACATCGCTTGGGCATAACATATCAGTGAACTTCCGTCAACTTGATCGGATCACTCAGTTGGACTGTGCCTCACACCGTCGAAGAATAAAACGTTTGTTTATGTATTTATTTAAGTAGGAAGAGAAGTACAGTTCATGCAGACTCCAGTGTCGCCAGTTTTGAGTAATTCAGAATACTGGACATATGAGCGTTTCACTGCTCGATGAGATCAATAGATGATTGCAAAAAACTTGTTGATAGACTGTTGGGTGCATGAGACGGCAAATGGTCGATAAAATAAGAAGAACGCAAGTGTGATCTAAAGCATTCGTATCGAAGCCGAACTCTGCGCCGTAGCGATATGCGTTTCAGTGAACCATTGAGATAGGTTTAGAATGGTTGTCAACGGAAGTTAGAACAACTCCAGCTGACCATTTTGAACGAAAGCATTCGCCTTATCCTCGGAGGTAGAGAAGGGGAGAGAACCAAAGGACATTTAACAAGACGTTCCAACAGAGGAAGAGAAAAATTGTCAATCGGAAGTTGAACAAGTCAGGTAAGCTCTGAGAAAAGAATACGCCGGATCCTAACTAGTCTGCTGGAACACACAGTCCAACAACAGAGAAAATTCGTAACAAATGAACATGGCTGCAGGCGCATTGACATAACAAAGTAGAAAGACGCCACGAGAATTTTTGAATCCACAAATTTTGGTCTCAAGGTCGTCACCTCTAGGTTACATCTCGAGGGCGAACGATACTTCAGTAACAGAGAGGAACATAACTGCATAAACGATTCCAGACTAGGGTTTCCAACGCTAAAATTAGTTCATCCATTAGCGGCACAGTTTGGAGTGGCAGTTAACAAGTGAGAAAATCACATAGTGACTATCAGAAGTGTCAGCTGCCAGTGGAACTCTGTTGAAACAAATCTGTAAGCTGTGGAAGAGTTTTTGTGGTGTGAACGGTAGTCACTCATTAATCCGGTAAGGAAATATTTATCTTAGCTGTTAGCTATGCGATCTCCCGTTGTTTTTGGATCATCACCAGTGATAACGGTAGGAAGTTTGTGATGACAGAGTGGAGATATCACCCTAAGTATTTTTCTAAGTACCAAAGGTGCGAAATGGTGGGCTTACATTGGCTCTAAGAAATGCAATCAAACTGACAGCATCATAAGCTTTAAACTTTTGAAGCAGTACTGTGGGCGGTTTGTCAGATGACCTGAGGTCGGGGCGGCGGAGCAGCTAATGACAATTGCTTTATGTGGCGCTGAGCGGTAAAGGGTTGAAATGCATCAGATAGCCAGATACTGCCCTGAGACAAGCACAGTTGTCAAGTGCCGAGCAGCCGTTGTCATTAGCAAAAACAGCGCAACGCGCTTGGGGGCGTATTTGAAGGGCTGACGAGAGTGAACAAGATGCTGTCCAAAATGTACCAGACATGCGTGCTGACAATGCAAATTAGCAGGTAGTGAAAGAATGGAAAAAGAATTCTACACAATTAGCCAAATAGCGACTGTTACACGTGTGTCTAAAAGAACTAAACGATAAGAGTCTTTACTTGAGAAGCTACATGACCCATTGGGAATGAGAGTTATCATTAATGCCGGCCGGTGGTGGCCGAGTGGTCTGCACGTCTGTCTTGCAACCATAAGATCACTGGTTCGAATCCGCAAAGGGGCGGGAGTCTTCGCAGTACACTCAGCCCACGCGCGACTGATGGTGGTCACGCAGCAGTGAAGCGGCATTACGGGATACAACTGATGATTTAATATTTTATTTCATCATTAATGAAAGAGCTGGATGGCAGGCTATACTTTGATAAATGTAAGTGGTAGGTTAATACGTGAGAGAATAGGATAGGCTAAAGCAACCTACCCCTCGCCAGAAGTACTATGAGCCTGCAGCGGCCCAACAGAACCCACTGGAGGCCGAGGAAACCGGCCACAGGATGACAGGTTCTTTCGGGATACCAGTGAGCCAGTGACACCGTGTCGGGTCCCCGATTTCATAGAGGAATTTGAGGTTGCAAGCCGTTTGGCACTCGTTGGGGAGATTGGAATGATTTTGCTCATGGAACCTGATACGGTGGGCGTGTTGTTGCTCTGGCCAGATTCAGTTGGCGAAGCTGGTGTATCAGTCTGGGCTTTGATTAGCTGCGGAGCAACATCACAATGGAAAATTGAATAGGAAAAATGAATTGTACTACATAGTAATGCATACGAGATGGGCTTTAAAAGGATAGGATGAAGGAAAAGTACATGTGATGGATTGGATGTCATTGAAGCAGACGACGAAATCGCAATGCCATTGTGAACATCAATTGGTTATTTGGTTAGGAGATTGGAGCAACCGTTTTCCCAATAAGGAAGAATGGAAAATTACTGGATCCGGTGGAGGAAGGAAAATGGACCAACATAACGTTTCGCTAGCCCGTTCGAATGGCTGACTTAAGAAGAAAATGTGATCCGACTATCCTCGTCATTCGCATTTTTAGAACAAACCAGAATACATCCTATGCAAACGATCCAGCCCTGATCTCAATGTCCCCAAAATCCCTACTGCTATCTAAGCCCTGATCTCAACCATTTATGCATTACGGGTTCACATGGCTACTGGTTAGATCACATTCGCCGTCGATTTGTACCTTAAATCTAGTTTATACCGGTGCAAAACCTGCTCTTCAAGTACATGGCGCAGTCGTAGGTGGAGGCGGACAGTAGCATTCCACTTTTGGTCAACAACGCCGCCGCCGTTGTGCTCTTCATGGCGCTCTAATCCACATGGACAAAACAGAAGTCAAGACTCAACTGGATGTATATTCAGAGCTGGAAACGGTTATAAGTCGATACACTCCCCATATGGACGTCTGCCATCCAACCATCTGTGCCTTGGGATCGGTCGTCGGACCGCATACTGCCTGGCTGTTTGTACACACTTGGCTATCACTGGTACCGCAATCAGCAGCTTACGCCCGAGGCCATTCGTGCGTCCGTCCCATCGTCGTGGTAAAACGTAGATGATTAACTGCTCTTCTGGTCAATGATAGGCATGCCCACGCCGTTGACGTGCACCTGATGTTGTCAGCATGTCGCGCTGCCAGCCACAGTTCCGCGTCGTAAGGTAGTGCGTAGGCCCTCGTTCAGCCCGGCGATCGAACAACTTGGGTGGTATCGACTTGCGTTATGCATCACCACCATGTCTTGGTCACATCAGTAACTGGCAATTCGGGTGTGAAATCGACTTAGCACCTCTTCCGTTCCGAGTTCACAGAACCCATGAAGAAAAGCCACTCTAAACACAGATGGGATAAGTTCCCAATTCATCGAGGATGTCTGTGAGGAAAACTTATGAAAATACTGCGAAGATAAAATGAAAAATGCATGGCGACGACGAAGGATGCTCACTGAATACAGTGGAAGGTTACTGGTCGCGTGTTCACCAGACCTTATTAGCAGCAGGCAAGTCACCATGTGGTAAATCCAATGTCCAACCTGGATATTGGGTCACTACGCAGTCTCTGCAAATTATCGATGCTCGCCGAGACATTCTGACTGAAAGTGAACACAATGGGACTCGCCAGAATCGCAGGGCAAAACTCAGTGCTAGCCTGAAAAGAGACGGCGAAGCTTGGTGGTCTCATCGTGCGTCAGTGATGAAAGTGGCCACTGTCCTAACAGTAACTATCGCAAGTTATTCAGTCTGATAAGGGAAACAGACACCCGGAGACCTGGAAGTACATGTGACGAGAGTTGATAGCCTATCCACAGATATTAAAACGCTTGGACCTCTGGGCTGAACACTTTGAAAGGCAGTTTAATCGGCCGGAATGGTCCGATTTCTCACCGACCAGTGATCGTCTTGCTCTCTGGGCTGTCTCTTTGGATCCGCCTCTCGCTCAGAAGTCGAACGTGAGATTAGACTGCCGAAGTTGAATGAGACCACAGGACCAAATGATCTTCCTCCTTCGGGGGACCTGTTCTTTTGGACGAGCTACACGAGTTATTAGTGAAATTTTGGGAGCAGGTGTCCCAACCGACTGGTGCCACTGCGTTATTGTCCCGATCTTCAAGGGAGGCTCACACTCCGAATGCTGCAACCATAATCAGTCTGATCTCCATCGCTTCCAAGTTACTTGTCTCCGACATCCTTCACAAATTGAATGGCGCCCGTGAAAGCCAGATTGGTGAGGAGCAAACCGGGTTTTATCGAAATCGGGGTTGCATCGATCACATCTTCATTTTATGTCAATTGTTGGAGCATCGTCACATATATTGGCGGCCTACCGTCGTAGTGTTTACCGACATCAAAAGCGACTTCAATTCGGTGAATCAGAGTTTTTTGGGACTGTCATCTAAGGAAAGGTGTGCTCGAGAAATATGCAAATATTATCCGAGTGTTTTACGCGCGTAGCTTGGGCAGCGTGAGGGCTCACGCCAAGCTGTCGCCAACCTTCAATACCTCCAGTGGTGTAAGACAGGGATACCCGCTGTCACTTTTCCTTTTCAAATTCGCTATTGACGAAGCCATAGAGACCGCGTTCACAGGACACGACTTATATGGTGTGGAGCTGCTCCCAGGTGAAGGACTTATTGACTTGGAGTATGCTGACGACATTGTCATCATCCATGGAAGCTTCTAAACGTGCCAAGTAGCACAAGACAGAGTAGCACTTGTTGGTAGCCGTTTCAGGCATTGCTTTGCACTCTCCAAGTACAAAGCTTTCGTTCAAGATGGGCAGGGTCCGGCTCTGACCCTGGGTGGAGAGCAGCTGGATGTCGTTCAGAAATTTAACTACCTAGACAGTTGTACTAACACATGTGGAATGGAAGAAAAGATCACGAACCGCATAGTAAAAGCCTGAAGCGTTTCTGCTGAGTTTTTCCACCTATGGTGCCGGCGCCACATTACTCTTGCTCTGAAGGGTATAGTGTACAACGCAGCCGTCTTTTCTACCCTCCTGTATGGTTGTGAAACCTAGCGTTAGATTAGAAGACCTAAAGAGGCTTGTTACGTTAAACCACCGGTGCCTTCGTAATTTGGCTCATATCTGGCGGGAACACCACGTGAGCAACGAGCGTGTTCGACGCCTTGTTTAAAGGCACAAGAGAAGGAAATGAACCACTCAGCGCTGTTATTGACTAGGCAAGGAGCCGACCTCAATGGCATCTGAGTTGTGAGTTCTTTTGTCCTCTCCCATCCCTCTTATCTTCCCCCTCCGACCACGGTCTCTCTCTTGAATCATAATATGTTACTAAGCCGTGTTACCTGTCCTTTGGTATTCGATAAGTTCTAGTGTCTCGCTTTTTCGTTTTGTATTGCGGCACAATACTCGGTGTGTTTCTCACGTTCGGCTAATGTGTAATGAGGATGGTGACGTTATTTCATGGACCAGCCTCCGGTGTTGTGCATGCCACCACACCGACTACAGCGACGTGCATTGTTTGCGCGCCGGGGTGTGGATGGAAGAAGGGGAGGTCAAGTGATGAGAGAGTCAAAAGGAATGAAGGCCCTTAGTTCGAACTTGGCCCCGGTTGGAGCCTCTAGGCTCGCTGGTTGGGGCTCGAAATACGCTGAACACGTTGGGCTGGATACACTTGTTGACATAGCCAAAAGCCGACCTCAGTGGCGTTTGTGTTGTGAGTTTCTTGGTCCCTCCCCCTCTCGCTTAGCCTCCCCGTCCAACCAGGATCTCATCTACTAAGCACAAGGTAACTTTTTTGCGGCACAACAGCTGGCTGTTAACTTTCCGGAACGATGTTCATCCGTTATTGGTGATTCAGCCTCTGTCGCATGTTTTTTCCTTCTTTTCTCATGTATCGCGGCACAATAGCTGAAGTGTTTCTCACCTCTAGATAACGTGTACAATGAGGATTCTGCTTAAGTTGCTACGATCATCGGCGCTGAGGGTTCAAACAGTGGCGTTTTCCAGAATAGCCTGTGCCGTAGCATTTCCACGAACTACAAGCGCATCACAGAGAAAGGTAAATGAACAGAGGAAACGAGCTTAGACAACAAAAAACAGCGAGTAGCTCAGGGCAATCGCTCATGAAGTGCGATCTGTGAGGTGGATACACCCGAAACCGAGAATAGGAATAACCTTGAACGGTGAAGAAGTCACGTACCTCATAGTGAGTGCGGGAATCATGTGTATTCTGCCCGGACCCCTCTTTTGTAAGCACGGCATCGTCGTTGCAGGATACATCCTCGGAAAGAGTGGACGGCGTCGTCACTTGATTTCCCGTCGCAGTCGGCAAGGGACTTTGGGTGCCAGACGCAGGGGCGGACAACGATTCGTCGGTGGAAATATTCAAAATGGCCGATCCACTACTAGTTCGAACTGCTTCAGACTGACATGTGGGAGTGCTATGGGATATAAGTCAAGCGGAGAGAACAAAGCGATACACAAAGGGGTAGTGGCATATGTTGTCAGACAAAACTAAGTTCAAATTTAAAACAGTTAGTTCCCCTCAGTAATTTGAAGAATACAATGAGAAGACGAAGTTCAGCAGATGCATGCATTTCGTAGCGTTTCGTCGGTATAGATAACGATGATTGACAAGTATATACAATCGTTTGAGGGTGCAAACATACAGACAGACAAACGAGAGGAAAAACGGGTGTCTTGGCCTCACACCCAAGGCAACTTGAGGCTGACTGAAAATTGATTTTGAACGCAAAGCACTGGTTTAATCCGGCTTATCGCAACAGCCTCGGTGAACCGGAGGAATCGGGAAATAGTATGGTGCAGCTGGATACCGAATGCCTTGGTGGAGGTCAACAAGTGTCTGGCAACCGAAGATGCCAGCGGCATGCGTGAACACGTCTAAATTGGGCCCGCCTGTTGCGCAGTCTCGCATTGAACCCATTTTGACACGTGCTACTTTATTCGGGAACTTAGGGTCCTCTCAGTTCTGCCTATGTAACTAGATTCGCAGTTACAAATTAGTATATGCTATGGGAATTGGTCGCGACAGACTGAGTTTCCTACAGCAGAGGCAGCGGTAGCTTGTGAGTTCTGTCGAGGATGACAACTTTAACAGCGTAGTGTGCTCTGCGTGGCATAGATCAAACGCTTTGTAACCCTCAGTGCGGCAATGTCACCCCTAAAGGGCAGTATTAAGTATTCCTTTTTCTTAAGTAGTCAAGCCAAGTCAAGGTAAGCTTTAGGTACCCAGATGGGCACATCTTCAGCCATTTACAGTATCAACTGCGGAGATCTAAAATGACATTTGGACAAAGTAAAAATTTCATATATGGATACAGAAAAGGGAATAGGTCGCATTGGTATCACTTGAGTTAAAGGGCCCACATTCTCGAGCAATGAGTGCATAATGATAAACAGAATCCTCGTGTATATGTTCCAGCAGATCGAGTATAGTTTTAAAAGGACATTTCTTCTTAATTGGTATCAACTGGCCTATAGGTTTGTGGCGAAAAGCAACAGACCGTGAATAATGCGCGGTATCTGGCCTTATTATTCAAAACATCAGTCTGGTTGACCTTGGAAGTAATTTGAACAAAAAAGCTGTCAAATTATTTCTATTATATCCGCAGTGGACGAAGTAAAGATATGGTGCAATGAAAAAGCAACAGTCAATTTGAAAGCCCCGGTGGACATTGGACCGTTCATATCGCTGATTTTTCTGTGCTTCTCGATGAATTTATGAGACTAGCTATTCGAAAGTAGCGTGCTGATAACCAGCTGTAGTTCATCGGTCAGAAAATTGGTCGAACATATACAAGTGAGGTTGTCAAATATGGATGCGCAACAAAGTTCGCGACAACAGCCCAAATATCTGGGTACAATAAACCAGGTTGCTGGGGCTGGTGAAACCCAGAAAACAAAAGTTGACGACGGCGGAAAAATGGGACGAAATGGAATGCAATGAATTTCTGAAAAGACTACGGACTGCATACAGAGGTGCAAGCAACTTCGCAATCGTGTCAATTGCGGAAGGGGAACGAAGTACCAATTGTGGCTTATCCGTGAGCGGCAACTCGGAGGGATGGTACACGACAATCTCGCTGTCCCCACATCATTAGTTTATTCAGGTAATTGCGGCAGGTGGAAATTCGGAGCCGCAGCTGACCCAGGAGGTTACCAGCTAAGAACTCGAACCGAATCAGGTTGTCTAGCGAAATGCCAGAGCTACGCAAGAACACGGGATTGAAAGCAGCAACGTCCATTGAAAGACTCCATTAAAGAAAAGTAACACCCCGCGTGTTTTGATGGTCAATGAGGATAGGTCTCTTTGGTTACTATTAACCAGGTTTCTGACCGACGTAATAAAGAGGCCATTGTCCAGTACTATACATCATAACTTCGAACGCTGGTAGCATGCATTGGTTGTTCAAGCGTTCACGTGTTGGATGAGTTGGGCAAATGGGTTGCCGGGCGAGCATATGAACACTCGAAAGACGATCTCTACGGCTGATTGAATCTTTGGTAAGACCTAGCGGCTAACTAATAGACCCAGTATTATCTACGTAGAAGTTAGCACCAAAAAGACGCAGGTAGTTACAGAATTGAACTGGATGCCCGATGGCCACCTTCCTCGACGTGCATAGTATGCTGCCGCTCCAGCCGATTGAGCGAAACCGCGCGAGGTGGCCAGTCTGTGACCTGACATAAAGGCATGGTACAGTCGTAAATGCCCCCCGCTGGGATGTGCCACATCGAGGGAATCAAGGATAATCCTGCATTCTTATTGCGTTTAACTGTTAATATTTTACGTTGATAACTGGTATCCGTCTTTTTTCCAAAAGCACCTTATCTTTGTGCCCCGTTTGTCTTGTGCTGCATTTTCATTGTTAATTACTATTTTACTAGTGACGTGGATCTATCGCACTTCGGTGCTCGACTCGTGGCTGTTTAACTTTAGTGAACTGAACAACACCTTGAGTGAGTTCAAAGAATCCCATCAAACATACTGTAATTGCTAAGCCATATAAAATGACTATTCAGACCGTAAGAGGAGATGTGGTGCAACCCCAGTCCTAAAATGATATGTTGAGATCCGAAGATTCGAGGCAATGGGGTTGTTTAGCAAACACGTGGTTTACCAATCCAAGGACAACATAACACACCCTGCGGCGATGCGCGAGCAAAATGATTGGGGAGGATCGATCGATGAATGCTTATACGCGTGTTGTGATACTCTGCGATCAAACGTTCAATCACCGATAAGGTGGAATGGTATATTCGGCGTGGGCGCATGAGCACACCCCCCGGGCGGCCCGAATCACACCTTTGGTTGAGCGAGTTAGAACACTCCAGCTCATGAAAAAAAACGGACAACCCGGCTCGACATCACTTCCTCGCTAGAGTGAAACAGTGAAGCGTGAATCAGACGGCGGTCAAGGGGAGAAATAGCTTAGACAATCGATTAAGTGTACACAATGGGAGAGGAAAAACACAAACTACCAATAGCAAGTGAAGTACGGTATCGCGGTTTAGACCAAGCAACGAAGAAGAAGAACGATGTATGAAAACAACCACTTTATCACTGGACACTAATTGGTATTCAGCAGTGACGCAACATGTTATAGGTCTAAAAACAATTTGGAATTTTTAATTTTATTGTGGAGTCAAGGACAGTGGTGAGTGGTAAAGTATGTAGATCTAAATTAGGCAAAAATGCTACATCTTCTCAGGGGTTGGACAGTGAGTGAGACATGGTTTCCGGTATATGGCTGAATTGGCAGATTGATGGACAATCTGCTTTCTCAAAAATTAGGTATTTAGGCATGTTCAGGTAGCTAGCCAATAGCGATGGAAGAACCACGCCTAGTAAAAATTTTAAGGTGAGCCAACAGCCTCAAACGGGCTATACCTTGGAGCAAACATGGAGGTGAAAATGAGGGATAAAGGACGCATTGACAGAATGACGCCGGCAGACAAGCAGTGTCCTGATATGAAGATGAGAGAGAGTCTTGGGAACACCGGAAACACCCCATCATAGGAAAATAGCATTCGGAACAATAAACACTGAAGCACATGACGAGTAGAAAGCAACTTACCCCGTGTAAAACTTCTCAAAAATATTGTCTCCACGCGGATCATGAGCAGCTTCCTTCTCCGAGGAGATTTCATGGGGACCGACGACGCTACTGGCAGTTCTGTCATCAATTTCGGAGGGAGTAATGGGATTTGGCACAGAGCTTGAATCGATGGGAAATTGTGCGGAGGTGACGGACGATCCTGATGACTTTGCTCTGAGTTTATCAACGATGTCGCTAATGCTCTTCACCGGCTGCCGACGCGGTAGCTGCTGAGGTGGTAGCTGAAGCGGATTTGTTTGGTTAGGATTTAGCTGTGCTGAGGAATTCAGCTCTACGGCACACTCGGATTGAGAAGAAGACGTGTCAAAAATCGAAGCTGGTGTTAAAGTCGACGCAGTGGGAGCGGAAACGGAGTCCAAGATCTCCACCGTGGGTCGTAACTTCGAAGAATTCGGAGTAAGATCGGCTACAACACTAGCGCTCGGGATGTCAGAGCAATGCAAGTGACAATCGTTTAAAAGCACCTTTGGTCCGGTGGGAACAGATTTTTTTTTCGGTATTTTATAACCCTTGATTAGACCACCGTGAGTGGCATTTGTAGGGGTTGCAGAGGAAAGAAATGGTTTATTTGTGTGAGACTTTTTCGAGTAGCAGGATGTTCCGAGCTCATCCGACCGATACTCCAAGCTGGACACAGAACGCGACAATTTCCCGAATGAGCCAGCAGATGGTGTTAAGTCCCCAGAGTCTGTAGGCGTGAGTGATCTGTGGTCCGCGTCATGCTGGTGTTGCGAAACCACAGAATGAAAGGAACTTGCAGACTTCATAGGTTCGGAGGATTTCTTACGTTTGGACTCTGACATATGAGGAACAGCGATCATTAACGACGAGATGGAGCGTTTGGAGGGGATAGTCTCGTCGATTGAAGCACCAGCCAATGCTGAGGAAGATGTCACTGGGTTGATTGATGACAGCTTCTTCTTCGCATTCGATGGAGATGACTGACGAGCGGCCGATTTAGTAGGAGTACTCGGGGTTAAGTTCGATAAATTCGAAGATACTCTAGCTGGATTTGAGACTACCCTATCAAGTTTAATCACTTTGGATGGATCGATGCTCGAGGTTAGTGCAGACTGACCATCGGCTAAATTGGAAGGCACGGTACATGCTGGTGGGACTATAGAAGTAGCTTTCTTGGACTTTTCAGTCACAGCACCCGCGCGTCGTTTGCGCTCCTTTTTAACAACCATGGTAGCATGACCAACAGCTGCTGTTCCACACTTTGACTGTTTAACTGCGCTAGTGAATGGACCGACATTGGAGCTCGTTGGAGCAGCCGAGGACGAATGCTGTAACACCTGGAGCATATAAGCGGACGGTTTGCCACCTACAGAACGCCGTTTCCTCCTCTTCGCTGGTTGACCGCCAGAGCCGTGTTTGTTTTTGCATTCTTCAGCTGACGACGATTCTGAAACCGTTCTCAAATGCTCCGATTTTGCGACCGCAGAGTCTGTAATTGATTTGGAAATGCTGGGTTGCGGTGGCAACTTTTTAATGGTCACTTTAAGACTAGACTTACGTTCCACCGTACGTTCCGGTACCGGAAGAGTGGGATTTGATCCACCGACAGATGACAGACCAGTGGAAGTCAGGCCAGACGAGCTTAGTAGTGAGGAGGAGGAAGCAGAATAACTGCTGCCAGATGAGGACAACTTTGAATTAGAAACGACACTGGTGGGAGCAGTGTGGGACGACAGCGAGCTGCTGTTAGTCATCTCAAACAACGGGCCCGGAGTGTCGTCAAAATCGTAAACAGACCTCCCAGTGGAAGCTGAGGAAGTAGCGGCAAAATTAGACGCGACGGATGACGCTAATGAGTTGACCACTGGACCATAAGGATGGGTTGTCGGGCAGAACGCGCCGCGATGATAGCTTGGATGTGCCTGTCGTGAACTTTGAGCCACAGAACGAGGTGTTGAACTCACCAACGAACCAGGCCTCTGATGTATTCCGGACACAAGACAATCAGATGCGCCTCTGCGTCGTTTGCGTGGTTTCTTTGGTGTCACCATTCCAACGTTGGTGGCAGTATGACTAGGCAATGAGGTTGCGGATCTAGGTTTGGTGGGTGCTGTGGGTGTAGAACCTTCCACATTAAGCGGATGACGGACGGTCTGTGAACTGTGTGGTTGCTTAGATAACGACGGGAACACGTTTGCAGGAGATGTAGAAGTGGGAAAATTCGCAACATAAGGTAAGGAGTTCCCTCCGGATACTGATGAAGTCACATTGACTGACGCAGCAGCGATGGAAGGTGGAGCAGAGGTCGGAGCGCCGAAACGGTTCGGCAAGACTCCAGCAGATGCTGCATAACTCTCTCGACTAGTGTCAAGAATGCCCGGAATTGCTGGAACAGACTGGATAGAGGGAGCATGTTTCCTTTGGTTGAATGACAGGTGCGAAACCAGTGAACTAGAAGGAGGGATTGGTTCCTCGTTAAGTAAATTAACGAGCATCGAACCGCTGCTGGTAGAAGGGCAGGACGGGATTTGAGAGTTGTTGAGAGCGGAAACATCTGAAACGAAGGTGGGAAGGTAAAATGACTCTATTGGTGAGTGAACTACTCCAAGAGAAATTGCTCTGAATGAGTTAATAAGATGTAGCGAAAATGAAATCAGTTTTCTCGGAAATCGTTAACAACCATCCTAGTCTAGGATAGAGTAAATGCCCATAAGTGTAGAACCTGGACCTTACAGGTCAAATTTAGTTGTGTAAATTAAAGCCGAAATAAGGGAGAAGGTTGAAGGATATCGCAACGGTGGCGGTTATAATAGACATCCACAGACCGGATAGGATGCACGCTTGAGTTGTCAGACCAATGTTCTACATGTTAAAGCGCCTTTTCTCAGTGCTTGGTGACGTTACAAGGGCTCACCACTACTATGTTGAAGCAGCATGCTAATTAGTGTCTCGTCCCATCGTAACTTCGGGTATCGTCTGCGTCTGTTGATACGGATCGCTAGCCAAAAGAATTCATGAGAGGTTTCAAAAGGAGTAAAATAATGTTAGCGTATACAGAAAAACATGAAGGAGGAGATACTTGACGGGAAAGTCGTCAGTCCACAGTGCACTGGGAAGCGGCGAAAGCAGCTGCTACAGAAAGCATGCATACTTGGAAAGAGTCAATCATCCTCAGGTTTAAGCGAGGTGTTAACTATCGCAAGCAGGTTTTGCATGCAAAAGAGGACGAACTGGTATTTCTTGGTTGCTCGGAACACGCTGGCAGTGTGCCCGAGGTGTCAGTAATATACCGCTACCTTGTGTCGACGCGACGCTGCTACGCAAACACCAGCGATCACATGCTGGCTGGAACAGTGTAAAATCACCTACAGTGACGCAGGTTCGCATCGGTGCCCTGTGGATTGTAAGGTAGTTGGTCGGACCACTCCAGCGGTAGGCCATCTGTTGACCAATAGCGAAATTGTTTAAGGAGAATGCCACTGTAAGCGCCAAAGTTGTGCTTGGAGGTACGGGTAAAACGTTCATTGGGATTGCATCTCCTTGTACACCAATGAAATTGAGTGATAATGTGTGCAACCTGAAGTGAGCACAACAAAAGAGCAGTACGTAAAAGTGAGAATAGGTGCACTTAATTTCCGCAGTAGTCTCGGGTCTAAAATGAGATCAATACTCGATAGGTTATACAGTCCAATCTGCTATGGCGACCAGCCAAAAAACATCCCCAACGTTTTCTCCTACGAGTAATGTCCGTATGCCTGAACCTGTCTACGGCGACCATCTGTCCAAGGCGACCACTTTTTTTCGGTCCCTTGAGTGGTAGTCTTAGACAGGTTTGACTGTGGTACTAATTTGATAGCATATCTCAGAACCACAAGTTCAGCTAGGACGGGTTGATAGGGGAGTATCTCCGGAGACAGCTAGGTTGTTACCGCCGGACGCACCTGTTACTTTTGCAATTTGATCGTGATTGACATGCTGACAAAGGAGCCGGGTTGTGTTTCAAACGATTATGGATTCGATTTGCCGTTCAACGTCTGCATTTCAAGTAACATCAGTCAATGCTGATCAGCAAAGTGTTTGTGATTAGTTGTACCATGTTTAGAAAAACGAACATGGGACGGAAACATTCTGATGCACTCATGGCAATGAGGCTTGTTGACAGGTTGACAAGTTTGTTCGAAGTTGCGAAGGGTGATTTGTTGAGTACCACCGCACCACAGGACAACATATGATTAGCAGCCCTAGAGCTGATCAGGAGTGTCACTTGGAGGTGTGCGGCACGCCAAATGACACTGCCTCACCTCAACCGGAACAGAGGTCCAATGAAGGCTTTGGTTAGGGAAAATCCCGCTGATAGGATCGCATTCCCATTGACTTGCACCATCTGAGGGACATTACGAGAAACCGGTTGACCGGAACACCGATCTAAATGATATCTAGGCTACCAGAACCTAGACATCCAGCACAGATAAGATCCAACAGAGATTAGCATCGGTGAAGGTGAACAAAGCGAACGAACGCTGCGATTTCCACCCATCGTTGCAGTAACTCGCCCGTGATTAATACTATGATCTCTTCAACTCGACACGGTGTCCTTAGACCGGTGATTGCCGAGTACTATCAGCCAGTAGTCAAAAGAGCCATAGAACGTCGTGTGATATGATCAAATTCTCTAGCCCTGTGGATACTGGCCCCCACAAACACAAGACCGCAGCCCATCACCGGCCATCGATAGAAGTGAATCGGTGAAAACAAAGACTGTCCATAACTATAGAGTTGTTGTGTCGATCACATCTTGACAACTTGTGCAGTGTGAGGAAGGCACCGTAAATATAGGTGAAACATTATCATGGATTTCGCTTGACTGATTCAGCTGATCGTACTTGCGTGCAATGCTCTAAACGTCCGAGAATGCAGCTGAGTTATTAGGTTCCATTAGAATATGTATTAGCTGCGGCTTTAGAGGTTGAGAAATGATCTAAGAGAAGCAAACCTATGAGCTTATTGAAACTAAAGGGGTGCACTCAATCAATCAATCAACAACAGCAGTACATCAGCCATTTGAACTGATGCTTCGCTGCCACACAACCTTGACCAAAGGAATAAAGAATAATAAGATAGAGAGAAGGGGGTTTACCTGAAAATTTTAATACCCTAAGTAACCATTCAGGGTCAAGCCCCCCACACCTTGTGTTAACAATATACCGTCACAAATAGCTGGCTATCGTGCAAAGATAAGGCGGCATCCGCGAGACAGCTTCCTTGCGGCTTTCACTGCCAAGCGTCATAATCAGCCATTACCCCGCAGATAACTCAGCACCAAACACACTTTAAACAGGTAATCCGATTAGGAAACGGCAGCAGACGTGCCACTGGTGCCGGGTGCGAACCATGTCCTGTAAAGTCTCAAGCCAAGCACAAGGCGAGTCACGTGGACTAGAGTCTGGAAGGCGAGACGGACCAACGGCACCCAGTTTGGTCGTCAGTGACTTCATTTACTGCTACCAAATCAACTTTTGTCCACATCGAGCCTTGTACCAACCTACACCTGGAGGACTAAACAAGGCCCACCTAGGTAAGCGGTGACCAGGCATACGTAGTACGTGCCCAAGCAAACGCAACTTATTCAGTGCTATCTGTTGTTCTAGGGAGCTAGCATTATTATCACTACCTAGTATTCGCCTACGCACATCATCGTTGCGGACACAGTGGGTCTTGACAAAAGACTGAGACAATTTCTCAGAATCCAATCGAGGGAAACGCTTAGTGCGTCTTCCGTTAAAGTTCATGGAAAAGTGACAGCGTACAAAAACATGATCAGAGTCGACACAGGTATTCCAGTACGAGCGGCAATCCAGGCTGGAACCGCGCCACCTGTAACTTATGCCAATGTGATCGATTTGGGTCCATTGCTGGCCAGCTACAGGATGACGCCAAGTGGCACTCCGGTGCCCACTGTTCCTAAAAGCAGTGCTACTAAGAAACTACTGCTGCTTCGCACACAATTGCAACAGACGCTCGTCGTTGTCCGTACGGTCGGAGTCAAGCGCATAATCACCACCCAGCTGAGCCTTCGAAGAGCACAGACGCCCTACTTGTGCGTTCATATCCCCTGCAAGTACTATACTATCTGAACTAGTAGCACTGCGTAGTAGCGCGTTCACTTCGTCATAGAATGTGTCCTTGACAACATCTGAACTGCAGTCGGTGGGAGCATAAGCGGAAACGACAAACAAACAGCGTTTTGTACTACTTCGTGAATCAACCTTAGCTGATGTCGTCAAACGGGCTGCACATAAACGGCTGCCCAATGGAATCCAATCAACCATGGATTGCTCAGCCTTGGAGCTTAGAATGATACCTACACCAGCTTGACCCGTGAGTGTTGCATCAGCGTCTCCGGATGCATGCTACCAATAACGAGAGGGTAAGCCGGGTGCAACTAATTCAATAACCCAGTTAGGGTCATTGATCCTAGTTTCGGACACACAACACACATCAATACCCAGTGTGTCCAAGGTGCGTGCGAGTGCAGCCGGTTGACCTGTTTAGTTTAGAGTGCGAACGTTGAATGTCGCCATGGAAACGGGATAGCGTGGCCTTATAAGGGACTTCTGCCGATAGGCGTCCGATAGGTGCTGTGGGATGGTGGCTGCAGATGGTTCTACTCAACTGGCACTTTGGTTGCTGTCAATTAAGCTAGGAATTATAGAAGGAAGGTTAGTAATGGGGGTCGGGATGGGAGTAAGAGAAACAGGTGGGAAAGAAGAAAGGGAGGCGCCAGCAGTAGCATGTTTTCGCTTATCCGCCCTGCTGTATGCAGCAGATAAGGCGACCGTTTATAATCTGCACGACGGCCGGTGCAGGATGAAGGTTGTTCGAAGAAAATGTCATGGTGCACGCAGACGACCTAATTATGCATTTTGTCGAGTTTGAGAAAGAAATCATAGAAAATGACTATTTCCCGTCTGTGCTATCCAATGGAAAAATTATGCCGAGTAGAGAATGATATCATCTCCTCGGTGACGTTTGCTAAGTATCCAGAACAACATGGGGGAACCGGACCAAACTAGCTTCCATAGGGATGTAGATTGGTAGTTTAGTGTAGGAGAAGGGTGCTCAGGAGAACAGTAACTACCGTAGGTCGTCATTGAAAGGAATGATGCACTAGGAACCAGAGCGAATCAGTGTGGGTGACATTTCTCTGATTCGGAAGTGGAAAACACGTAATGTAAGGTGACTCGATGTTTACCGAAATACGTAAACGGGAACAGTTGTCAAGACAAATTGCGATGAGACAAGTCGCCTTCAAACCATACTCTGCGAGTGGTAGCAAATCGGATGAATACAGTTTCGGCGACGTACACATAAATTAGTCATCTCTCTGGTGGATTCTCTGAAGTATAAAAGCTTGTGATGTAGGACAAGAGGAGGAAAAGTTAAAGACACTAAAAATTCATGGCTTGCAGCAGACTCCAGAGCCCCGGGAAGCGGAATAAAAATGGACCTTGCTAGACTCTAGCTGTCAAGCTCTATACGACACAAAAATATCAGGCTAACATGTGAGGAGAGGAGAGAAAGGGTGCTAGCTCACTTAAACGGTTGGTAACAGGAACTGAATTCATCACCAACGAGCTCTGCGCGAAGGTACCCGGAACGCAGATTGCAGGCATAGTAGTGAACTGGCCTGGTGCAGGGATACGAGCATTGTAAGTGCCTGATAAAGGAAGACTGTTAGCACACGTTGGTTGCTGACGCTTCGGTGGAAAATAGCTGGACAGTTGATTCGACACAACGGAAGATGACGGGGCTGGTGACGAACTTTCGGAGGTGAAGTGTTGACCCCCAATGCCTAACTTCCCTGAAGATGATGGACCAATGGATGAAGAAATGCTAGTCGATAGTTTGGACGACAAACAAGGGTCAGAGGAATTGACAGAACGCTGCGGTGCAGCTAGGTTCTGTTGAAGCATATTGTCAATTAGCAAGTCGTCCAGTCGTAGAGTTCGTGGATTGAAGTTCGAAACCACTGCGGATGCAGGCGCGACAGAAACACGCGACTTTGCGCTCAAATCAGTGTTCCGTGTGACTTGAAGCGCACCAGGAACCAGTTCGTCTTGGGAAGGAGAGAGCGAGAAGGGTTGCATGTTGGAAAAGTGAATGGAATATACATGTGCAGAGTTGATGAAGCACTTGGGCGTTGAAAACCATCAGAACAAAATTGTCGCAACATGAAAGCTAAGAATACAGACTCGCATAGTAACTGGCAAAACATATGACAGAACAGGTCGGTTAGTATAGTGCGCTAAAGGGATTGTCACAAACTTAGCTTGAACAGTAGTTACTCGGTTTATTCGAACAATTAGATAACTTGTAATAGTCGGAAGGTACGACAATATTTGTTTCGGTTTGTATCCAAGCGCTTGATATAAAAGCTACATTCAGTCGGAATGAAAAAAGCACTTCTGTAAAAGCGGAAAGGCCCAGAAAACATGTCAGCCTATTAGCTTTAAGTCGCTCTGAAACCAAGCGTTATATGGTCGCTGATACAATGGAAGTGCTCGACAACAGAACAACAGCGACGGAGGGTGTTAGAGCATGGGACGATGAAAATTGAAGTACACTGCAATAAAATCAAGGCTTAGAACTCAGAGCCTAAAACGACACGTGTGGTATGTTTGAGCAGAATAAGTGTGATTAAAAGTACCGATCACACAATCTCTGTGGAAAAGAGAGACGCGAGTAAGGAAAATTCGTGAGCACGGATATACCAAATCCGGAAGTTGTTTGCAGGATTGCCTCTGTAGGCAGTAAGGAAATCAGAGGCATGATAGAAAATGAAAAAAATGTGGTTGGCAGTTGGTCTAGTGAGGCTACCCAGCGATTAGGTGGATTAACAAAAGTGAAAGTACCAAGGATTTTGTGCAAGAGATTAAACGCGGACGCGAAGGCGTTAAATCGCTGGGGATACATGGAGGAGGGTAAGAATCATAAGCAAAACGCAAACAATAGAAGTTCAAAGAGAGCGAGGACTCACTACCCGTTTCTGAGTGCGCAAAGGTCGGAGGTGGAATAGCCAAGACACCGGGTGGAAGTGAAGGTATTTTGATAGCAGATGTCATTCCAGGGGTTAAAGACAGAGTGGACAATAGCGGAGAATCCAGATCCAAAGGAGCCAGTCGGTCCGCACCGCTGAGTAGCCCACCACTTCCTGTAGCACCTTGAATGATCACATGGGAACGGGCTTGACTAAGCATATTGCGCAGACGCTCGAACAGTTTATGATTGGGTATCGGTTTGGACAAGGGAGTTGAGGCAGGTTTGCTCTCCGCGCAATTAGAAGGAGTCTGAGTGGGACGCAGTGGTAGCATACGGTGTATGGGACAACCAAATTTCATCAACAGCCAAACCAGACCGATAGGCAACACGTGAGTACGGGCCAGTATGTCGGTAAGGTTGGAATCCATGGGGCCAGTCTCTTTGCCATCTGGTAAGCTGGGCAGATGTCCAAGCTGGTTCAGCGTCTGCTCACCACGAGAAGCGTTCACGAACGCCTTTTCCACTTCAAAAGGGCCGATTAGGATATCCACTAGGTAAAGCATCGTAGAAAGAAGGTGAAAAGAGGTGGATAAAATGGGAGGTGGAGAAATACGCAGACATAAGAAGTGAGTAAAGTGAAAACGAAGCACTTTTCCTATCGATCCTAACCTTCAAATGGGTATGAAATGCAGAAAATAGCGAAGCATAAGGTTCACGAGAGAGCATACAAAATGAACGAGTGAGTTTAAACAAAAGGTATAACAATTAGGAAGCAGTGCTGGTATTTTGAAAAGATAGGACTGAAATTGCGGATATAGAGGTAACACGCAGCGTCTTTTCCGGGCTCGTGTCTTATCACGGCTGTGAATAGCCGAAGTAAAGTCGCCTACAGAGGGACCAGGCGTAGATTGCGCAGTACCACCCACAGCTATGCCCACGCACTAGATGTGGAGCGCGAATCCGATGGAAACAGTGGGATGCAAGTGGACGACTGGCACCACGATTGATTCGGATTAAAATCCACCACCAACACGCGCATAAGAGTGCCTCTGAGTTATGTCAACCCTAGAAGGTGTGGGTGACGCAAGCGTCGAAGCAGAATGCGCTTATTTTGTGAACATTTACCTATGTGAAGTCGAAAAGCGATAGTTATCCACGGATGTGAAATATTTGGGGGTGTATATGTCGGATGCACAAGATACCGTTCCTTAGCCGCAGTTCTTTCTAGAACAAAACCGCTCTTTGAATTTACCCCTTCAGGAAGACTAAACTACCATTTCCTCTCAGCAGGGGGTTGATGAGTCCCTAGGTGTTATGAGTCGAGCTGATATGCTGTCAGTGTTTGAATCGTGCGTGCCTACAGGGGACCAATCACGAATACGCTGTCATAGAAATACAGCTCGAACTCAACGACAGGGATTGGCCCAAATCAAGTAGTCGCAGGGCTGAAAAACGAATCCCAGTGCGTCACTGGTTTATAACAATCTAGATGGCCACGTCGCCCATTGTCTCTTAAGTGTATGGGTGGTGACTGTGGAAAAATACACCCCCATGCAAGTTGTATGAGGTGGGGTAATCCAGAATGGCATAAATGAGCTATGCGTACCCCTACGGGACGAATTTTCATCAGTGAAATCTACCGAACATGCAAGTAAGGCAGATGCACCTAAGGAATAGGCTAAGATGGAGGAGCGTATACAATATGGCAAGCACGGTATATAAATAAACGGCACATCAAGCGGATTGCAATCAACTTTTAGGTGGTCATGCGAAGTGGAGTTTGCCAGGCACGGAGGTAAACCCATTCGACATGGTATCGGCGCATATTTGAGCACGTGTTGTCAGTAAAGCCAAGTCAGTGGGAACCAGATAAAATACAGACAGGGCATTGGAAATTGTGAAGTCATAAGCAGATGATCGGATTTCATCAAACTGTATAGGTACCCATCTCAACAGGCAACATCATACGCAGTACGCCCAACTTATTTGCGTTAATGTCGACCTTTCGGGAACACCAGAAAAATCGTGAAATATGGCGTGATGGTCTGGATGATATCGCAAGCGCAGATACATGCGCTCGCATGTATGGTTGCAGAAGTGAAGCTGACTACATTGACGCACGTTTCAATATCAGGAAACATGGATCATGTAATTATAACTGAAGCACGCAAATCGATTTCTGTATGCTATAATGGTACCCCGTTCGATGACAAATCGCGTGACAAAACAAAAAATCAACAGAATAATTGATCGTGGCATTATCGGAGAGAAGTAGTGAAATGGAATCGCACGAGAGGAACGCACATAGTAAACCATGGTAATAAGACAAAGTGAAACATTCACAAGGGTTGAGTCCAATCAGTTTAGCCCAGCCAAAGCGAAGTGGAGCACGACTTTGTTAACATCAACCCATGCACTGAAAGAAATAACTACGCAAATCTTCCTTGCTTCATGAATTGATTTCTTTCTTGATTGAAAGTCTGCGATTGGGTGCAATCTGAGTACCGACGTTGTGTTGCATTACCGAGTGTGAAATGTAGCAGGCAGCGGTATAGGAGGTAAGCTAGGTAGTGCTTAAGGAGCTCCAAGATATGGAAAGTGGGTGATTCTTGTTAGATTCCACGATTAGCGTGGGGGGACTCCATGGTAATGGTGGCTGATATTCCGAAACGGTCCCAAAAACAAGCAAAATGCAGAGCATAGGTTAGTTCCAACATGAGCTAATCACTTCAACCTTGGCAAGTATGAAGCAGAGACGTCGACCGGTGACAGATTAGCATGAGCTGCCTACTTTGCTAATCCAAAGGTCACCGATTCGAATCCGAGCAAGTTTGAGCGACTTTTCAGTATCCTTAGCTCGCGCGCAACTGGTGGTGGTCGTGTGGCGGTTAAGCGAAATAAAGCGTACTGGCGTACGACGGATACCTTTATTAATGCAGGGGAAGTTAGGTTAAGATCAATAACGGGGCGCCGACGGATGCACCAATGGCGAGTTGGAACAACATGAAGCAGTAGTCTAGTGACTTTCCGGATGTGTGGGATTTAGCTGCTTAGGGACCGACTGCGGCGAACAATGCAGAGATTGTATTAAATTCGCTGTTCCTTATTAATTGGACAGTATCCAAATGCTACATAGTACACAGCTTTGCATGGTAAGCTGTAGTTATGAGGGCCAAATATGTTTCATGCAAATTCCATGACTTGCATGACACTGGAGAATGATCAGTACCATGTAGTGGTTAGCCTGTAAATCAAAACGGTCCACCATAGTCACCCATGGCCTAGTGATGCAAGATGCTAGCTTTGAGAGGTCATGGGCTCGGTTCCTGATGGAGCCGGGGCACGGGCACTACCGACGAGTCCCAATGAGGGAAAATGGCCCATTAGTGCTTTTCAGGGTACTCTAGAGCTCTACCAGCTGAGAGCAGACCGCGACGAATAAGTTACAAATGAAGTAAATGGCAAGTAAACGAAGCGGTCAGCATCATAATTGGGACACAAATAAGATAAAGATGAGTAAAGTGAGGCTGGACTCACCGTGCACCGTTCGGCCGAGATCGCAAGGGTGATCGAACTGTACGTGAAGATGATCACTTGAAACAAGAGTGACCACGAAATGATACGTAAGAGACTCATCTGGAATAAAAAGTACGAACAATGCGGATTAAAGCGGAGATTCAGAAAGGTGCAAGACTAGACGACAGAAGATTATGGTCATTTACGCTGAAAATATATGTGAAGAATGCAATTTTGGCATGGAACATCCTGAGTTGGATGTGAAGGGAATTTCTAGCGAACAGAAATGTGAAGGACAGAAAGTGCATAGCAGAAAGTTAGGACATGACGTATACTGTGCCTCTGAAGCACGCGCACAAATAGTAAATGGCCGCGGTTACCTGGTACAGCTTCCACTGACGAAGCCTTTTAAAAGTTAAAAGTTCAGTGATGCGAGGATAACGACTTGTGGCAGTTGCAATATCGGATGGCACTCTTCTCGAACCAATTTCAGTGGATAACCAGACGCTCATGATTCCATTCCGAGCATCAATAAACGTAAACAGGAAGTGTTTAAAAACAAAGTGTTGTTTCATCGTTTCAACATGCCATCCGAGCGAATGTAGCCACATGGCCGTCAAAGATCAACAATGTGATAGTTCCCCACGTCTAAGTTTTAGAGTTAAAGTATGGATATACTGAATGATGGTGGTGGCGTGCCAAGCGGAGTTAAAACACCCGCAGGGAGTATTTCGTGCCTGTTAAATGTAGCAGTGGTGGCCGCATACTCACCGTAGCCTCCATATCAACCTAAGCTGCTGTCAGGTTACTTGGTGACCCCTGAACAAACAGTCGAGCTGGATTCCAGTTGGCAAAACCGCTACCAGCCACAGATGGTGTGATGGGGGTTGGAACTGCTAGTGAGTGGAAATGCTACGGTACCGGTAGGCAGATGGCCAATCGAACGGCAGTCGGTATTTTGCGGAGTACCAGACAGATGCAATCTATCCCGATAGAAAGTGAGCATGTCGTCGGAAGCAGATTGCTCAGCCGAGCAGCAAATGTTCGGCGCACGCCCGCGTCGAGCTCCACAAGTACAGCCGGCAAATATTCGCGGGGTGTGAAAGTGACCAATCAGGCTCCAGTAGGTTCCAAAAGCACGGGCGAAGAAGCGCGTACCCGTGAGAAGCGTATTGGTGCGCAGTTGGACCAAGGTTTGTTGTGATATTGGACCGAGGGAAAAAGCGTGCGGCCTGATGGATGAGTGACCGACCAAACCAATGATACAATCCATCAAAAAAGTCGAGGTAATTTTAGACAGGATGAACGTTGCGAGCAGGCGTAAACCAATGGAAATGGAGCCAGCGACAGAATGCAAATAACAGGGATGAGCCAGTGAAGCGAACTGTGGCAAATAGTGTGTAGACTCTGTAAATATGCAAGCGTAATCTGAAAGAAAGACCTCGTGAGCGCGGCCCAGTCTTCTAGGTTTCCGGAGGGCTACTCAACGGATGGTGTATGCCAGTCCAGGATTATCGGTTGACTTTTATTGGTCCCATTACAACATACTTTAAGGCGCACTCCAATAGCGTCTAATCATCCGACGTTGGCGAACACATAAATGTTGGAATGCTTAAATATCACACAGTTCAGAAAAGGTAGAATTAACTCGAAATTCGGTGACGTTTGAAGCTAACCACTATCTACCGGGACTGATTCTAGTGCGCCTCGACTAAGACAGCGACACCATCCTCCCACACAGGTTGAGTATTCGAATAGTGAATGCACATTTGAGGATTCGAGTTGCTCGAATGAAAATGGGGAGACGGTTCCTTTGACGTAGTTGTCCAGTACCGCAATGCCTTGATGTAACTGCTGACCAGGTGCACAGTAGACACTAGGGTTACAAAATAATGAGAGGACCAAATGGACGTAGGTCAGCACCACTGAAAGCAACAGAACATCGTTACAAATCATGTAAGAGTCACTCTCAAGGAAGGAAGACGGACAATTGATCCATCCCTACATACACCGATTTGGGAGCCGTAGTCAACATTCCGAAAAACCAGTCAGCAGGATGACTTTGTTGCCATCAAGTCGGATCAAATAAACTCATAGGGGACGGCTGTCACAGCCTGACCACGACTTGATCTCGATATACACGTTAGCAACAGCAATTCATACACGTCTAATTAATTTCCTCTTGCGGTTATCTCGGCCGTTATGCACAGAGGCTAGACTGAAAAAAAGAATACGACCTTCTACCACTTTGCTAGGATACGGTAATGTATAGGAAAACATGATACACACGACATTCTATGCTGTTGTGGTTGTGCTTTAGTGCCCCTTTTATCAACATACAATTGCTCTTCATCCCTCATCCGAGAGTAAAGGACACCTGGCGAGAGCCCATGGGGTATGCTACATCCCTTGCTGTAGAGAAACTTGACCGAGCTTCGCAAACAATGGAAGAAGTATAAGGGAAGTTTATCCTCAAAGTTTTTGAATCTCGAGTCGAAAAAGCATCCCTGATATGCCTACTGTTTTGGTCCGTAGCAACCGCGTGCTTCGTATTGATTGTCCACAACGGCGTGCGTGTCTACTTTATCGTTCAAGCAGTCATTTACTGAACTAGTGCAATGTACGAAATCGATGCAGTGTATGAGATGCTCATTATACTGCCATTTGTGTTACGTCTGACGCGCTTTAGCGTTGCGCCACTTCGGCAGCGAGAGTTCTACTACTTTCTGCCGTAAAAGTTAGTTCCGCACGCTCTAGTCTGTAACAACCTAACATTTAGATTATCCTGTGGGTACCTTGTTGATAATTAATGGCAACAAATTTGATCACGTTGGAAAAGGTCTCGTGAAACCTCATTGTATATTGTATATTATTATTATCGCTACTATTACTGGCTGTCCGATTGAGTAGTCACAGATTCCCGAACGATCTCCATTGGTTGATGTACAGACTGCTAAGATGTTGGATAGATCCTTGTAGTTCTACTAGTGCAAAGGTCATGGTGTTTAGGTAAGGGAATTGCGAAAGCTGTGCCTCCGGTCATTTGGCCACTGTCCTGCATCATAACAGGTTGCGATTTGTAATCCGTTCAATTCCTTCCCTTCGTAACTGTTGGTATATAGGATCTCAGCCAAAGTGCGTGTTCATCGCTTTCGCTGTGCAGGACCAAAGCTCGAGGAACAAACTTTGCAATTTTTGATTGTCCATGTCACAGGATCCTCGTTTCGTTCCAACAGAGGTTGAGCATTCTCCATCGACGTGTGTTGAGATCAAAAATGATACAAGTGCAGTTGGTGCAGATAATGCTTTGCCTGGTTGAATCACATTGGGAATACGACAAATCACCCTCGCTACAGCGAGTGTGGGGGTGATCGAGGTAGCTCGAGATGAAAACGCGTGGATATACGTTGAGCAGCGACGGTGCAAACAAAGGATTCTTTTCTCTCCGTTTAGCTTTCGCATTAAGAAAAAAATGTGTCCGTTGTACGCCGTAACGGCGCTTCGTTGCCGTGTGACCATCACCACTCACATGCGGGCGAGAGGACGCCCATCCCTACACGAATTCGAACACATGTCGTAAGATTACGAGACAAGCTCGTTACCTGAAGCGTGATTCGGCGTGTAAAATATATCACGTAGCGCAGCTCATGTGGTGACATCTGACGACTATAGTCAAGGTGTAGAATATGACCTGTGTGCGTGCCACTTTTCGTTAATAGAACGTTTGTTGCTCTCCATCAAACAATCTGACACTGGAAGTCAGTATCCTATCCCTGTGACCCCATGCTGACATGAATTTCGTCCATTGTATCGATGGCAAATTGTGTGTGGTCTACAACAGAGTACGCCTGAGTACCCCGAAATTATCGGCATAAAGGTCAGCCTTGTGACTCACATCATCCGTTCTTGGATACAAATGCGGATCAGTATTCAACAAGATAGCACTTACTTACGAATTAAAATACCACATCGGTCGGGACGGAAAAGTCCCTAAGTCAATTTCGAGCTAATACAGACATATATGAGTGCTCAACGCCCCGCGCCGCTGGTGTCTAGGGAGATTTGCTCAAGGTTGGATGAAAACACGGTAGTTACCTACCCTATATTTAGAAATGTCTACGACATAAATTTTTAAGAGTTGCTGGGCAGATCATGTATCGCAATATGTGATGGGAAAATCTGAATTTCTCGACGTCACTGGCAGGACAGCAATAGGATGGAATGCTGATTCAAAGGCTGATTGTATGGAGCTGGGTGCAGTGGGCAGAATTCGCAACCATGTGAAGCAAGTTAGCACAGAGAAGTCGATGCAAATTAATGTAAAAATCAATCACAGCCAGTTAAGTAATGGGTACGTTATATAAGCGAAAAAGGAATTGATACGGATATACTGACGTTATACACATTAAACTCAAGATAACATTCTGAGTGAACAGAACTGAGATGGCGCAAGCAGACGGAACGCCCACGCGACCTTACCGCCAGCATCCACTTCTTGCGAAGCTAGGCATGAGAAGGTTACTTCCGGGGTTATGCGTACTGACCGTACACTCTCGCAACCTTTCCGGTGCATGCTCATGTCGGGAAGTCGGCTTCCCTGGGTTAAGTTGATATTCGAGATTTTTATGAGAAGCAAAACTCTGCACAATTCTTCGTCTTGGTGCCGTTTTCTCTTACTCTATCGCCTCCTTTGGTCAGCTATATTTTGAAGTGTAAATCAATTCTTCCTCCTATTGATCAGCTGGCAAAGGTTATTCTGTTGGCTGGATTGCACTTTTCGCTCGGAAATCTGATCGTTTGCTGTGGGCGTTTGGCACCGCAGTGAAGCGAGTAATTCGCGCGATTATCTGTGTCGATATTGATACGTAACAGTATGTACGCCCCGCTAAAATCGATGACAGGATTTTACGTCATACTCAGGATGAGTGCCTCCCAGCCATGGGGATTCTTATCGTGGCCGTTGACGGTACACTTCCGATAAGCTAATGGAGAAGGAAGACAAATTGCATGACTGTTCTTCAAACATCCAGTGTGTCATGATGTGGGTACGCTAGTGCTTCCGAAAATAAGTTCTTGGAGTTAAATTACCAGAAAATATCCCAAATGGAGCTTGCGATCAC